ATGTTTGTTAAACATGAATAATATGCATTAATGGACAAAGGGGTTGTAATACAATAGATGGAAATGCAGAGGACAATCTACAAGGCGACTATGTGTCGCATTCAATCCAGAAGACGTAGTGTCCATAATTGAAGAGTGTATCACTCTGCTGCACTATAAAGGACTCAGAATTAACCGGGTCTACATTAAGCACAATGAAAGTCTATCTTTCAAGAACTGACTGGCAGAGGTTGTAGGGGCAAGATGAAAGTTACTGATCTTGGGAGTCCCTTCAAAGACAACAGTGCCAAAACGATAGCTGAAATTGGAGACCCTTGCTGATGAATTCAAGAAACAGACAAATGAACTTCACATAGTTCCTATCAATTGAGGGCTCCATTGATGTATTCGTTGGGAATAGGTTCAACAAAAGATAAATGCCAGGGATGCAGTAATTTGAGACTTCTGGGCCAGTACAAAAAGTAACTCAACATTTGCACGGTTCATCCAGAGAAGCCAGAGTAGTTCGACAGGTTATTCAACCGGTAACAGACGAAAGCAGAAGACTAGTCAACATGTCAGAAGTTGTCAGGATATTTTTTCCTTTTAAAAGATAAAACACTTTTGTCTCCAATAAGGATTATTTCTAATAACAGACACATTTTTTGGAGTAATGCCTTAAACATTGCATGCATCATTCATTCATGCATATTTCACATTACTTTTCTCTTTTTTATTACATTTACATGTCTCATAAAAAAATGAGAAAATTTCGATCCTATGACATATAACGAGCTTTACCAACAGTTGTTTGAAGCACATGTGGTGTCATCATATCCAGAGAAATCCATTAAAGCCCCGTACCCCAGGTAGTATGATGAGAATGCTCATTGTGAATATCATAGCGGTGTCCAGGGCGCACTATCGAGAACTACTACGTATTCAAGAGAGTCGTGCAGAAGATGCGTAATCAAAATTGGAACGACTCCAACAACTTGGGGGCATCCAAGTGAAGACGATCATTTCATCATTTGAGGCATTCTGTTTGAATTTTTTTCTCAAGTTTTTGTAAAGCCTTTTAAAGAAATTTATGTTACTTTAAAGATGTTAAGCAATGAATCTCATTTACAAACTTGCAATTCTTTGAATATCATTTGAATTAAGAAACTCTGTAAATGGTTCAAAGTTACAAATCTTTGACAAAGTAACATGATTTAAAACAAGGACTTTGACCTTACCCATAATATACCCTCAAACACCGTACTTAAGAGCATTACATTTATCATTTTTCGCACACAATTTTGTGTACAGATTTTAGAGTCAAATTTCAACTTCAAGATGAAAGATACTTAATTCAAAAGCGCATTCGAAAATTGATGGTGGTAGCTCAACTTCACAGCGAAGGGGCGACTGACTGTCAACAAACAACTTTTCAGTTTCATTTAGAGTCAATTTCAACTTCACATCGAAGGATATTAGACTCGAGACAACACAAGCTCAACTTCACAACGAAGGGGCGGTTGACTATCAACAAACAAATTTTCAGTTTTATTCAGAGTCAATTTCAACTTCACATTGAAGAATATTGGACTTGATACAACACAAGCTCAACTTCACAGCGAAGGGGCGACTGACTGTCAACAAACAACTTTTCAGTTTCATTCAGAGTCAATTTCAACTTCACAACGAAGGATATTAGACTCAAGACAACACAAGCTCAACTTCACAGCGAATGGGCAACTAACTGTCAACAAACAACTTTTCAGTTTCATTCAGAGTCAATATCAACTTCACAACGAAGGATATTAGACTCGAGACAACACAAGCTCAACTTCACAGCGAGGGGGCGACTGACTGTCAACAAATAACTTTTCAATTTCATTCAGAGTCAATTTCAACTTCACAGTGAATGATATTAGACTCGAGACAACATAAGCTCAACTTCACAGAGAAGGGGCAATTGGTTGTTAACAAATGACTTTCCAGTTTTAGAGTCAATTTCAACTTCACGGCGAAGGATATTGGCCTCGAAACAGCACAAATATTTGGATTTCAACTTCACAATGAAGGATATCCAATTCGAGGCTCAACTTCACTACGAAGGGGCCATCCATGGTTTCAACTTCACGACGAAGGGAATCGTGCCTACCAAAGACCTTCGAGTTCGACTACGCTCAGTTCCAAGGCACATTATTTACAGCGTAGCTTAAGTCGAGAAGAGCTATTTGCCAAAGACCTTCGGGTTCGATTACACTCAGCTCAAAGGCACCAACATTTGTAGAATAACTTAAGTCGAGAAGAGTTATCTGGTAACCAAAGACCTTCGAGTTCGACCATGCTCAACTTGGAGGGCACATCATTTACAACATAACTCAAGGCTAGAAGAGTTATCTGTTACCAAAGACCTTTGAGTTCAACTACGCTCAGCTCCAAGGCACATCATTTACAGCATAGCTTAAGTCGAGAAGGGCTATCTACTAAAGACACTCGAGTTCGATTACACTCAGCTTCGAGGGCACATCATTTACAGCATAACTCAAGGCTAGAAGGGTTATCTGTCACCAAAAGACCTTCGAGTTTGACTACGCTCAGCTCCAAGGCACGTCATTTTCAGCATAGCTTAAGTTGAGAAGGGCTATCTGCCAAAGACCTTCGAGTTCGATTTCATTCAGCTCAAGGGCATGTCAAGTTTACAATATAGCTTAAGTTGAGAAAAGTTGTATGTCAATAAAAATTGTCGAGTTCGATTCCATTCAGCTCGATGAAACATCTATCACACTATTGTCCGGTTGTAGTCGAGGTTTTCAAGTCGAGATGAAGACCTAGGTTAGCCGTGCCTTAGTGACAATAAATCGTTTTCCGGTAGCATAGCTTAAGTCGAAAAAAGCCATCTGTCGACGAGAACCTCTCGAGTTCGATTTCATTCATCTCGAGAGTCAAATAACTACTTTCCAATCAAATTTTAACCAATGTCTTTAAACCGAGAAGAAGACCGAGGTTGACTACAATTTGGCGAAGAGAAGCCACGTTCCGATTCAAATTCTGAATTACGGCTTCAATTCCATATCATTTTAAGACGGACTCGACTTCGCGACGGAGGAGTCATCTGCAACTCGACTTGACAGGGAGTTATTCTTCAACTCCACCGAACAAAAATTTGTGTCTTTTTATCTTTGTCCTATTTTTCGTTCCACGAAAAAGGACAAAGAAGGGCAGCTGTAGACACTTATTTTCATCCAGATTTATCTTTTTATTATATATTATTTTTTATAATAATATAATATAGTTTTTAAAAATGTTTTAATGGTTTTCTAAAATATATATACTATATGGTTTCAAAAACATTTTGAAAATATATATATTATATAGTTTTGAAAAATTTTGAAAGCATATATAATGTATAGTTTTTGAAAATCCTTTTGAATATATATATAATATATAGTTTTGAAATCGTTATTGAAAACTTATATAATATATAGTTTTTAAAACATTTTTTGAAAAATTATATGGTGTATAGTTTTAAAACAATTTTCGAAAACTTATATAATATTTTTAAATAAATTTTGAAAACTATATAATATATAGTTTTGAAAGTTTTTTTAAAAATATAATATATGGTTTAAAATTATTTTTGAAATATATATTATATAATTTATACTATATTATTACTATTATTATTATTTATTTATTTTCTTTCTTTTGTTTTATTTTTATTAATTTCTTTTGTGTTTCTTTTCCAGGTCCAATAACAGTCCAAACGGTCCAGTTTAGGAAACCCAACCGGGTGAGCCTGACCCAGCAAACCCGGTTAGGTGGGCTTGATCCAACCCAAATCCTAATTTAGGGTTTTGCATGCTAAACAATGGCATTGCATGGAGCATGCGTGAGTTCCACACGCAGACGTTTCAGTCAAACGAGGAACGATCGGCGAAACAACCGGCGCAACACGATCTCAACAGCCCACAACAGAGCTACCCCAGTGGCCGGTCATTCTCTCCAGTGGAGTCTCTAGAGAGAGTTCAGAGAGGAGTTTTCTCCTCTCTCTTTTAGTGAGAGAGAGCAAATGAGGAAAAGAAAAGGCTTAAGGGTTGTATGGCGTGGGTTTGGGTATAAATACCCATAGCAAAATGATGCCGTTTGTATCAGAGGTTGTTTGTGTAATTTTAGCATGTGGTCTAATCGTAGCGTAGGTCCCTTATCCCTTGAATGTTATTTTCTACTCATGGATGGAACTTTTAATTTCGTTTATTTTAAGCATCAATGTTTCAATTATTTGATTTTAGTCTGATTCTTATTTGTTTTGTTATTTTAATTGAAATTTGACTTAGGATATTATACTTGAAAATGTTTTATTTTAGTCCCCGTCTCATTTAAGTTTATTTATTAATTGGTCCCTGATTTTTTTTCATTATTATTATCCTTGTTTTAAATTTTTATTTCATTTTTCTTATTAGTTTTTCAACTTCAATTTTTACTTTTTTTAGCCTTTGGTTATTTTTTTTTCTTCATTTCATTTTTTATTTTATTATTTTATTATTTTTTTATTTTTATTATTTTTTCTTTTATTTATTTATTTATGTTCTTTATTTTTATTACTATATTAACATTCTTTTTAGAATTTTTTATCTATCTAACATTTTCTTTTTCATTCGTAATTCCAACCGATTAATGGTAAGTAATTCGGATCGATTTTTTTTTTAAATTTTAATTTTTCTATTAAACAACTGACAAATTAATTGGTACCGAAAGGGCAGTTCAAGGGTGTTAATCCTTCCTTGACCGTAACCGACTCCCGAACCCGACACGTTTCTGGTACAACGCAGATCAAGTAAGATGGTATCCGACCCACCTAAATTCGCTTTAAAATGGTCGGTGACGACTCTAACCCAATCAATTCAAGTCGGAGCCTAACTCCGGGTCCACCCGAAAGACGGCCGCGACACATAACTCGCATGTTGTAGCTATTCTTAATATGTTATTCCATTGTTGTTGCTAAACGGGTCACTAATCTATTAAAAGGAATGCAATTGAATGCTGAAAGAGCTGGATCAGGTACCTCCTATATCAGTGTGTCTGAACCCCCAACCAGAAGTGAGATTCTTTACCCATGTGATGTTATGGAGGTAATGATCGAAGGAATAGTATTTCACGGATGCATTTTTGAAGGGGAGGTTATTGGGCTCCTCCCTTGTGGGTTTCTGTTAATGAGGCTCTTTATTCTTGTTCATGATGTTGCAATTGCTTATGGCTATAATAATATACCAAAGAGAAAGCTTTCATCTTTGAAGCCCCTCCCCTTGAACCAGCTTAGTGATCTTATAAGATCTGAGGTGCCTGAATACACTGAAGTAGTCTTTTTTTATTGTAATTTTTTCTATGCTCTAATTGAGGTTCTTTTTAGATATCCATGAATGGCTTTAAGGAGGTGTTGACATGGATTTTATGTTCTAAGAAAGAAAATTTTGAGATGTTAAAACGGAAGGATGACAAAACCACTGCGGTGATCATTGGAAATCCCCGCTCTTCTGATTTTTAGGTTTGTATTTTCATTTTAGAATATATGTATAATATTATTTCAACATTCCAGCTTTCTGGGTTCCTCCTTACCGTGTCTGTGCCAGAGTTGTAATTTTAGACCGCTTGAGAACTAGTATTAGTTTTTATGATTTTGTTCAACCTTTTTTTTTTTTTTTTTGTCAAGACTTCTTGAAATATTCTGTATGGCCTTATTTTCTACAATCAAATTTATTTTTTAAATGACTGGTACTTAAAAATCGAACAGACAATTTAGGAGCCCATTGTTGCTCTCTATAGATAAGTGTTCAACATTTGGTTCATTTGAAGGATGAGGGTGAAAAGGATAAGAAAAAAAGAAATAGGAATATTAGATGTTCCGTGTTTTTACTGGAAGCCTTTTATTGGAACTCCTAATTGAAGATTGCTTATTCTGTTTGCATAGTTGGTTCGTACAAGTTTTATGCTTGGCATGCTAAAGACCGTTGACATAACAGACCATCCAAAGCCCATAAAGGTACAATTTTGGTTTTGAATTGTTCAGGTTGAAACACTATCAGAATATAGCGTTATGGATTTACTTTTTTTTTTGAATTGTGCACCTTCTCTAATATGTGATTTTTCTGTTGCACATCTTTCATTGGAAGATGGTCCCTTCTGGTTAAAAGCCCTTGGACTTCTGTTCTGTTGGCATAATTCTTTCTTTAGAAAGACTGATGTCGGTATATGGAGGGGGACATATTTGTAGATGTTCTTATGTTAGTTGAAGCGTTATTTCATTGAGAGTGTCAGTCTAATACATTCCATGTCTCCCCCTCTTACAACAGATGTTCAATAATGAACATGGGAATGCAAAAATGTTCATGTCTGTTATTTTACTATTATTCACTTGTTATGCTTCTCAAGTTTGACTTCATTCATCTTAATTTACGAGTATACGGTCACCCTGCGTTTATATTTTGCTCTTTTTTTTGGAAACTTTCACATGTCCAGATTTTTGAAGTGGGTGATGTAGTACTTTTGGATGATAAGGAAGATGTTGTGCATCAAACCGTCGCCTACTTGCTGCATAATACTGCGGTGCTAACTCGGGTTTTTGAGGTAAGATTTCCTTATTATGCCCACCTGTTTTTGAATTTGATGACATCGTGCATTGATTTGTTGTAGTCTTCAATGGTCAGTTCTTGTTTCTGTAAAGACTCAAAATTTGTTTATGAAGTTGTTCATTGTAATCTTCAAATGATCAGAAGTGACTTTCTGGTTCACTTGACGGGTCATCCAACCTGGAGAAGTTGATGGTTAGTGGTTAAAAATCTTTTTTTGCTCTGTTCTAAAGCCCTGGTTAATTGTAAAACCCTGGTTAATTGTGCATTGTTTTTGAAGTTTGGTTTTATTACATGTAGTACATATCTTATCATATTTTTTCTTCTAGTTTTCTTCATGTAATATATTGTCTCTTAATCCATTGTTTTCATTGTTGCTTGAATTGAAGGTACATTCCTAATGAAAAGAATCAACTGAAGTTGCTGATCAATACAAATTGTCACTAGAAGATTGTTAACAATGCTTTTTTTAATTGAAAGAGAAAGAACTTAGACTAAATTCTAGTTAACAATGTTGAACTATGTTATATTTTAATTTAATTTTATAAATTTTAATTTATTTTTCTACATAATTTGTGTCGTAATTAATTTTTTTTAAGTTTATTGTTACTAGATAATGATATAGAATGTTAAATTTGTGTAATATAAAGTAGAAAATGATATATGCGAAATCAATGAACTATAGCGTTGTTTATAAATAAAAGCCACCAGAAGTCAGGTTCTTTTGCGGTGTTTTGTGAAGAAACGCCACTAATGACCACATATTTGTGGCGTTTGTATAAAATTCCACTATATTCATAACATGTAGTGTTGTTTTAGAAAACAACGCCACTAAAGACAAGGTAATTAGCGGCGTTTTTTCTTATAAACGCCGCTATTGAGCTTGACCTTTTGCTGTGTTTTAAAGAAAAACTTCGCTATAGAGCTGGACCTTTTGTGACATTTTTGTTCACAAACGCCGCTACCTTTTGCGGCGTTAATTTTAGTGGCGCTTCTTGCGGTGTTTTTACATACGTCGGGAAAGTTTTTAGCCGCGTTGAAAAACGAACTAAAAAACGCCGCTAAAAACTTATATTGTTGTAGTGTGGGTAAGATGCAACTGTCTAAAAGTTTGAATTATTTCATCCATTCAGTAATAAACAATTATTGAATCATCATCACTCGTACCATATAATTTACTATTTTTTCTCTATAATCACTCTATTAGGGACTTTTGAATTTCAGTTGGAGGAGGAACATACGTAAGAGATTATGCTCTCACAAGCGCTCTCGAGATTCTCTTAAGAAAATAGTTAAAAATTCCTGAAGTGTGCCACCTCATCTATTTTGGAATCCCCAAAAGCATGCGATCTTTGGTTTCAAGGATAAACTCATCTCTTAAATCTTCAACATATGAAGCGTGGGTCTCACCTTGAGCCTTTAAACTATGATTAGATTTGGCATACATGGTAACTTCTACAATCAATATGAATAAAGGAAATACCATCAGAATCTTAGTCATAAAAGAGTACATTTGAACCTAGGGATATACACTTACTAAAACTAACCAACGAGTTCTAAGACCGAATGAACTTAAAATTTTGATACCACTAAATGTAACACCTTAAACTTGAGTTATTGGATTCGATGAGTTTAGAATGTCACATTCGGTCTTTTGAACGACCTGAACTTATAAACCTTTAAAATTTTCGATAAACATGCATATTTAACGACGTCCATGATAACTAAAATCATTGATAAACAAATGTAAGTGTTTATACAAAAATTTAAGCTCTGAAAAATGTGTTTGAATCTAAATCCAAAATAACCAAAAAGATTTATAACTTCAGAGTTGAAGACTGAAATATAAGGTCCAAATGATACACATGCCCTTTAAAAGATTTGTATTGTACTCTAATTAGGTTTTATTAGATATTCCTTACCGACGGTGCTCATTTTACTCGAATGAGATCTACTGAACTAAAAACGAAATAATATAAACGTTAAATTTTACAAACCCAGTGGTACATATCCACTTTAGTATAACTCATTCTTACATGATAGTTCATTTACTTAATCCACTCTATTAAACTTTATAACAATTCGTGTATGTCATACACAAAAAATAACGATTCAACATAATTGCACATTTGCTCAATCCTAAAGGATTTATATGGATAATTCTTACATCATAAATGTTTATATATCAAATAATTCTCGAGTGTCTGTAATGTTTCACTGAGAGCCACTCATGGCCCCACATCAAATGAATGCCAGTCATTGTTGTGAATCATGTAAATATCACTTATGTTGTAAATCGATACAATTATACATAAGATCCTACAAGACTCATCTATCATCACTCATGATTACAACCAATAATAATAATAACGTTATTTGAGCTTGAATCACAATTTTGAATAGACATTTAACCATCATCAACCTCATATTGAAGTTTTATGCTCAATTAATGTTCATTTATTTCATGGTACAACATACTTAAGAAATCATTTTAAGCTATACGATTTCTTTTCAAACTTTATGGAATGATTACAACTTATTCCGGTAAAGTTCTTACATTTTATAACATGTATCGAGACCTTTTTTAGCGATATTGATACATTCCATAGGGTATCAATACTTTTGGATAAATATGATACCAAATTGATACACTAAAATTGCATTTCTTGTACCTGTATAGACGCTTTATCCAAAGTGAAGATACTCAATGATTAGTATTGATATCTAAAAATTATGTATAGACACTCTCTGCCCAAAATTACCCAGTTTGCTATGTTATTTCATACGGTATCGTTATTGTATAAATAATATCAATACCAAAGTCCAAAAAATATTATTTTTAGACTTGAAAAAAATGATTCAAAATTTGCTCAAAACATCACATTTGATGCTCTAATCATTCTCTAAATCACGTGACACTTTTACTACATCGTATGTAATTATTTTTACACATTTATAACGTAAATCACGACACTCATTATCAATTCATGATTTTCAACCAAAACACACATAATACATTTTGCTCATATAGCATCTAATTTATGGTTCACATGAAGCTTTTCAAAGTTAGGTGTACTACCTTAAAACAAAACACCAAAGGAAGCCTCTAGCTCACTTCCTGAAATCTTTTCCTTCCTTTTTTGTTTTAAAGGGCACTCCAACCTCTTTGATTAATAAAAACAAACATAACATGAGACCATAAAGCAATCAATAGATAAATGAAAGATATACCTATGAATTTACAACTCTAAAAATGAATTAAACTCATTAATGGACCCTCCCATATCCTAAATCATCTTTAAACCCCCAAACCTTGTCCTACCCCCAAATGATACAAAAGAGAGTTATTCTTGAAGCTCAAAATATATAGATAATAATTTTATATTCTTTAATCCTTGGTAAATGATCACTTATTCAATATTTGCTTTCCCATAATTCAAATGTCTTAGAACTTTGGTGCAGGGAAGAGTATTAAAGAAAGGGTGAAAAGATGAAGGTATGAAAGGGTGATGTCACAAATAGTGAAATTTATCTTCCCAATTTCCACCCAAAACCGATGAATTTGGCTTCAGAATCACGATAATATTTCTAATAGAATAATTACCCTTTTGGTCCTTTCATAATATTCAAAATTTTTAATCTATCCCTTTTAAATTCCAAATGAGTCTAATTCTTACCCGATTTGGACCAAACCTCAGGTAACGAGTTAATTACACTTATTAATCAATAATTCCATGACTCGAGTCGACATCAATATTGAATTGATTTTGTGTCGTTACAAAATAAGGACCTATTTTTTAAAATATATATATACACATATGTTGAAATAATAAATTAAAAAGACATTATTGTAAAAATATACCATTATTTGAAAAAATTTGTAAAATTTTTTTGCTCAACATTAAGAGTTTCATTAATA